GCTATTAAGTATGAATAGCCAAGACTATTATCAGCAGTTTTGCCTCTGAAGCCTTTCTGATTTGAAATGTAGCGTTAGACGGAATTCCATCCCATATGCTCGCTGACCCCCATCCTGATAAAGGAGTGATGAATTTAAAAGCTCTGGGCAAATAATATCTCCAGATATTATTTGGATTTTACTTATCACCCAGACTGAAGGGATGTACCTTGCATGATATGAGTTTGCCCCCTAGCTAGTCTTGAAGCACTGCTATCAGTGGTTTCCTGAGTGTTTCTGACTTGGGAGCTTTCAATTTCTTTCATTGGATACAGATGTTGCTATGATAATCCATAGTTCTGATGTTTTGGTTTCAGACATCTGCAGTGCAATCTCTTTGGGATTATTTCACGGTGTCTTTCAAAGATGAAAGTGGTTTAAAAAAAGCAGCTGTCTGTCTTAGTGGGGTATTTCATCTGGAGCTGATTATGCTCTGTGAACAGCATGTGACTACCTGGAGGTTTGTAGCTGTTTTATAAAACATAGCTTCTGAGTTACATATCCATGAGGGATTGGGAGACTAAGCATGCCTGCTTGAAACGGTGTTACATGATTATTTCTGCTGCAGACTTCTGCTTGACCTAAAAGGACTTTAGAAAGTTCTTGCCCTAGATAAGCTTTGTAGAATGAGCTTATCTTTATTTTCCCCCTCAAAAACTGGACAGTAAAAATAAACATGGACAGTTGCAGGGAGTGGGTATTTTTACCATTCATTGTTGCTCGACTTGTCTATTTCTGTAGTATAGTGGAAGCTAGCTCCTGGATTTTATCTTTTAATTGTATGGTCATTCTAGTCTTTGTTCTTTGCTCCCAAAATATTTTGAAAATTTTTTTTTTTCTTTCTGATATAGATGCACTAACATGCCTGGTCCTTTGATCTGTTTATATATTTATGGGGATAAAACAGGAACTACTATTGGTCGAAAGGTTCTAACGATATCTGGTGATGAGGAATGGCTGACCTAGACAGTGTAGAAAGCGTCTAGGAAAGCGAGTATCAAGGAAGACCCAATCTATATAGAAAACTGGGACCATTTTCTCCGTAGACCCAGATAACGGAGAAATCTTAAGGCGTGATTTCTGTTATTTTTCACACTGTCATCCTCATCCCATGGGTTTGTGTCTTATACTTGTTTTATGCCATCACATGCTTAGATTTTGATCTTCCTCAAGCACCACCTGTTTGTCCAGCATAAGGTGTTCTTTTTTCAGATTCAAAACACTACTGCTATAAAATGATCTGCATTGCAATGATTCATAAAACTGCTTATGCTTTCTAAATTAACAATGATAATGAATTCAGAGACAGATTCCAGCCCCCATTAGTGCTGGTTTTCTAAAGAAAATTACATGAAGCAGAGAAAACTTGTATCTTCCTGGAAATTCATGTGGTATCCAGACTTGGACTAGAAGGAAGAAGCTGACATAAATAAAAAAGGAATATCCAGGAAAAAAAAGGAGAAACATCTTATTTCCTCAGCAGCAAGACATGCACCGAAAGACAACATATCTATTTTGGGATATTAGAAGTCTGTTGGGCAAAATGCGTGCTAAGATTACTCAGTATCTAAACTTGTATCGGAAGTCAGTCAACTTCAATGCTTTCAGACTCCCGAAGCCATGGAATGAATACAAAGCAGCAGGTTAATCTTCTGGTATCTCTTTGAAGTTATTTTTATCTTTGCAAATATTCTTCATGTTGGTGGTTTACCCTGGGCATGCTGGACTGAAGTATAAGAGATACTACTTACTCTAAAGGAACGCACTAACAGTTCTTTTCATGGCCCAGGCTGTCTGCTGGTGTATGCAGCACACCAGTGCTGATTTACACCCGGTCACAATCTCATTCTGAATCTTTCAACAGTGCTCCTCTTTGTTTATTGTATGTACGCACGTCCATTTTCTTTGTCAGTATACACTCCTTCAGTAGCATTTGGATCTCACCTGCATAACCGTTACTGTTACAAGTTGGCTACTACTTCTGACCCCTTCACAGTTCACCACTTTGTCAGTAAAGATGAATGGGTCACAAGGACAAAAGAAAGGAAAACTGAGGCACTGCAAGGAACTTGTCTGTTGATTAGAGATGTCAGGAGGGAGCAGAGAAGGGCCTAAAGCTCCGGAGAAGGCTTCAAGCATGAGCGTTAAGGGAAGGGTTAATGGGAAGGGCTCTTCTCAGCCCTCTGCAGCATACGAGGACTGCTAATTGTGCCTTATCTGTGCATGGGCAGAGCTTCCCAAGGAAGGGAGAATTGCCTGCCTCAGTAGTTTGGAGAAGAACGAACTGATCCATGTGCTGCTTCTCTTGTCTCCCAGAATCTCATCCAATTCTTGCTCTGGGCTGCCAGTTTTCAAGGCAATTTCACTCTGCGTGAAGCTCTTAGGACAATTTGAATATTTCCAAACTCAGCTTCTTGCAATTGTTCATACTGTAAGAGGGAGTTTTTATGTTATCTCGGTCACAAAATTACGTGCTTGCTCTTTGCCTGCCCCAATGACAAGGAGAAACGTGATGGCTTACAGTGCGATAGCTCATGACAGGTGAACTCTGGCTAAGGCCGTTGGAGGTGCCACCTCTCCCTGTTGCCTGCCCCATCTTTCTACCAGAAACTAGTTCCCTCCTGTAGCAGAGCTGACAGCAAGGATGCTGCGCCCCTGCTTCAGGTGTCAAGTTTACACGCTAGCACTTCAAACTCCTGACAGAGGTAAAAATACCTTCAGGTAAAAATAGCGTGAACTGGAGGTGGTGAGGAGGTGCTCCCTTCTCTGTGGAGGGGCACGAGGCAGAGCGCTGGGGGACTTAAACCACTGCACTGAGACTGGCCACAGCTCGTTTGTCGAAGCTTTGAACGGCCGTGGCGTTCATGAGGCAAGTGGTGCACACGCTTTGCTGCCAGGGTAGGCAAGCACAAGCGCAGCGGGTTGAGGGTGACCCAGGTGCTGTGCTGTTGCTCGTTAGGCAGCTGGTGGGGGCTTGTCGGTACCTTGCGCAGCGTGTGAGCCTGGGTGCACCTGTGACTAGGAAAAAATGACTCCAGCTTTGCTGTGTGAATTATGCATGTGAACCCCATGGCTGACAGTTACCTTAGAAAAAAACGTTGGTCCATTTTTTTTTCTTCCGGGCTTATTTATGTAAATGCATGACTTTGGCAATGGGGTTTTGTAAATATGAGCATTCCGAATTGTAAAGCGGGATGGGAAAGATGGACGTCACCCACGAGGTTACTAATTAGTCTTAGGCTAGAGCACCGTGCCGCGCTCGAGGTCAGGAGAGGAAACCAAACGCCCCAACGGGCTAGGCAACAGCGGGGCAAGAAACCAGCCGGGGGCTGACAGAGGGACAGCGCGTGGCGCTGCGGCCAGCGAAAGCGAGTATGATTCCGCGATGCGGAAGCCCGAGGGGCCGCGCGCGACAGCAGGAGAAAATCCTCTCTTTCAGTATTTGGGGGGGGGGGAGAGGCCGCCGCC